TTTAAACCACTTAACATTTATAATTTCACACTTTTTTGTTGACGAAAAATGTGCCGAAAACTGGCAAAACTCAAGTACAATTAGAACTGGTTTTGTAAACTCGGTTTTCCTAACGGACTTCAGGCAATTGTTATGCTAATTTCTTGGATTGCTTGGTCAGGTCTTTGTGTATGACTCGTGGATAAGTCGAGGGGGATTTTTTGGGATGATTTTTTGGTCATAAAAGGTCGAGTTATACACGAGTAAATACGGTATACACATGAAAAAAAGTCAAACTCATATTTCTTTTTTTCCATCAGTGCGTTGAAACTCGAAAACAAGTTACAAGCCCAAACTTTTGCCAAGTAACAGATAATGGCAAAACATCTTGGAGATCTGAATAAAAGAAGCACAATGAATTTTGAAGTATTCCGTGAGCTTTGTCGAAAAAATAGCGGGCAATTTTTATCAGTGTTTCTTCAATACATCATTCAAAACCAAATTCTCTTTATCTAAATGATTGCTATACCTGTTTACTTTCACTTAATTATTGTCCCTTTTGATGGTTTTAGGCAACATTTAAAAATTATTTAGGGGTATCACGCAGACTGAACAAAATAGGGCGATTGGACAATTGCATATGAAAAGAAGATGGAATATTCATCAAACTAAATTGAACTGAACAGCCTTGATGTTCGAGATTGGTGATACCATAACACAACAACAATAAGAACAACAACAGCAACTTTTTATTATGACTCGCATATTTACAATTTTACAGAAATATTTACACATTAAGTTAAAAAAGCTTGACAGTAGCAACAGCGCAAACCCGCACGTAGCCTGGGCTAATCTAGGCGGGCCACATCTACATTTATGTTAGACCATTAATACATAGATAAGATTGTTAATGCAACTACTTATAGAAGGATTTACAAAGCCATTTAATACAAGTACATTTACATATTTTGATTGACGCTAGGAGCTATGATTTACTAGAGATAAACTAAACTATGAGTTGGAATTAATCAGGAACTAAATTTAGGAACTTGAGTCAGGGTGTCGACTTCAACATAGTCATCCCTATCTGAAAGAGTCTCAAATAAAAATCTATGAATTTTTTTCTTAAAGATTGGTTTAGATAAATCTCTCCAGTCTGGAGAAATTTTATTCCATAATATTGCTCCAGTTCTCGAAAAAGGGTGTTTGAAAATTTCCGACTTAACTTCTCTCCGAAGATAATACCACGCCTATGATGTGTTACGCGGTTGACGTAATTTTGGGAGCAAGAAGGGGGAATATAATTTACAGTCTAAGCACTGTTTATTTCCACGGCAAGACCTACCTACATAATCCTGACCAATAACAGAGCTTGTCGTAAACTCTTTTCCAAACCGGATTTGAAAAACGTCGGCTTTGTGTTTTAGTGTAGAAGGAAAATATTTTGACGACAGGGGTTTTAGGAAACGATGACGCATGCGTTTAGCCCTAAATCTCAAGGGTGCACTCAAGGTTTTCTGCGGCCATTGATTGTTGCGTTTTCAAAACGTCTGATGCATTTTTGAAGTGCAAATGCCCTTTTTAAATTTCTGAAGTATAGGGAGAATGGGGCCTTAGTGTGTAAAAGTTGTTCGGAGATCCATTACCAGTATAGGTCAGTAAACAAATGGTTAATCAGTGATTGCGGTCCAACCACAGGCATGAAGAAAATTAGGCTTGATCCCTATCGTTGGTAAGGGTAGGACAAAAGTTAGTGGGACCAAGAAATTAAATATCATAACAAAAAACAAGTGTAATGTATCTCGAGGGGTAGGAGGCAGTACAAGCTTGATCTAGAAAAACAACTCGAGCACGTTATCATGACGGGACTTGAGCCAGAGATATACTCGGCCTTATTAACTATTCTCCCTGTCTATGGAAAGTAGAAACAATCACAAAACTTTGTCCATTCTGTAAAGTATTGCATGGGCACTTTTCTGTGGATACTCGAAAATTAAGACCTCTAAAACAACGAGCAGCTCAATCTCATTCAGAAAATTTCCTAAAATCGAGGAGATATTTATCCAGACTATTAATTCGAAGAAGGGGGAGGTGGAGAAGGCAAAAAGAGACAAGGTCTGGTGATAAGAGAATGTTAAGGTGACTTATGTTGTAGCTAAAAGTCTCTAATGGAAAAACGAAATAAACACTCTAGGATAAGCAGCAGTCCCTAGCGGAAATAAGCTTGTCAGATTTAAAGATGACTTTCAGGCTTACAAACCGTGTTTGCAACACATTTTCTCTATCTAAGGACACTGAATAAAGAAAGGTTTAGCCAGAAGGTTATTCTTTCCGATTACAATATCGCAATTTGTATGTTTGTCATGTCAAAGGCTCCTCCATGGGAAAGCTTTTTACCCTTTAAAATGCTTCTTGGATCAACACCATAACCAGGGAATGTAGAGAGGACAATACATGGGCATGTGTACGAGCTGTGAAATATCTCTTCCAGTGTTGAATTCGATATCTCACGGGTGAGATGTCTCGGATGTAGTTCCGTATGAATTTTACAAGTGGTGAATTTCCAGTAAAACACTCATTTCTACATGTACATCAATCATTTATCATTGCGAGCTAACAATTACACAATTTTCATTCATCATTGATCAATGTGTATAAACACCTCCATGTCAAGAAGTAAATTAAGTGTCAAAAAAACAAACCATCTGAGGAAAGGAACAAATGACTTAATAACAAATGGTAAAGGTCAAGGTCAAACCAATGTGGGTTTTTGTATTTAGAATTTTTGGTTTCCTAGTCCCTTCCTCTTCACCCAGAGGATATTATAGCCTGTTGTCTTTGGTGAAAATCCTTGAATGGACTAGTAGTATGTCACCCTCATAAAAGTTTCAGTTTCAGTAGGAAAGTTTCCTTCCCTCACTGAAATCAAATTACCATCATCAGAAAAAAACGCCGACAACTAAAGCAAAGATGTTAGGTTTTGTATCCCCATACAACACCAAATAAAATTTCATCAAAATTCAGATAAAAAGGTGACAACGCAGGCTCTTGGGTAGTAAGTACAAATGACTCAATCATTGTCTTAGGACATTGAATGCTGCAGGACTCAACTGATTAAACATGCATCTCCACAAACATGTACATCAGGAGTCAGCATCTCAGACTTATCCTTAATCCTAGGATAGTGTATGCTGCAGAACTGAACTGAAGTTATCTGTGAGAAGAGGGCACTCTCAAACACATACATTCAGGAGCCAACACGACCCACATATCCCTTGGTAATATATGAAATTACACATTGAAAAGTTTTTCAAGCACACATGGTAAGAAGAAAGTCCAAAAAAAAAATTGATCGTTGTTACAGGCCATCTCATAAAATTTGTCCTAAGGGCAAACACTCTGGATTTCAATGCATGCAACAGAAGCAAGCAAGTGTCAACTCACAAAACTCCTTAAGATCGCCACTACTAACCAGCTTTTGCTTTTCAAAGGCCAGCTGTATGAACAAATTGATGGTGTGGCTATGGGTTCACTCCTTGGCCCTCTAATGGCCAATGTCTTCCTCTGAGATCTTGAAGACAAGCTTACTCGCGATCGTGTGATGCCCACATTATACAAGAGATATGTTGATGATACCTTGGCTAGAATGCCCAGCAATGACGCTGCAGTTTATTTTCCCACTACTCTTAATAGCTTCCACCCCACCTTCCCCGTCTTTTACGATGGAGCTTCCTGTTGACAACAACATCTCCTTTATCGGCATTGGAATAATCAAGAAACAAACAAAGATTGACTCACTAGTATATATAGAAAGCCGACAAACACAAAAAGTGTCACAGTTGCATATATCATAATGTAACTTACGATACTAACTTCATATACCAAAGTATTATTATTATCTACTGAACAATTTCTTTACTGAAAATTTTGTAATTACATATTTTACAGCTACGGGCATTTATGTTGGTATTAAACTTTGCAGTAAAGTAGTTATAATTATTATTAAAGCTACAAAACCAAACTCAGTAAGTTGGAAAATTTAAAACAGTATGAAAGAAAACAACAGTATATGACTGCATGGCTTTATAATTTTAGAGATCGTTGTGATAATTATAATAAATAGAATTAAACCTATGTTGGGGTGTGTCAACAATACTAAAAGAGTCAAACTGGTATATTAGAGACAATTTACAAGACATTAAACAAGTTAACAAGGAAGAAAATTCTAAACTAAGGGCCCAATCTTGTATTCTAGAAATGTACATGTAGATGAAATATATCGGGATTAATTAGTAGATATGATATATTTATGTGTATGTAAAACATTTTTACAAGCTGGTAATATCTATATAAATGGTTAATTGCATGTTCACTGAAGGCCTCACCTTGTGAGTGTACATGTAACTAAAGTTGTTATTTTCTTGACAAGTATTAATTGCATATTGTAAATAATTAATGATATATCTTGTATTATCAATCAGAAGTTGGTCTCTTTTTGGCACAGATTAAGGCCTAGTTGGTAACTGGAACATTGTTAACTGGTCAGCTATTTGTAACACACAATACTTGCATCTTCCTCATGCCCACAGTTGTTCGATCCCCAATCGTTATGTGGACAGTCAAGCAAGGAGGCCTCTCCTCCCTGACACCGAACATTATCTAGCCAGATACGATCAGAACCCTCACCATATGCTGCACAGCAAGGAGCTGATAAGGCGCCAGAGTACCCAAGCTGACGGCAAAGCACACTGGGATCGCTAATGTGCCAGTAATCATCACAAACTGTACCCCAAGTCTCATTGTAGTAAACCTCAACACGGCCATGGCTAGCCCCTCCATCAACTAAGCGAACGGAAGACATCCCATAAGAACACTGGACACTTGCATCATTGCTATGAGTGCAGTTATTGTTTCCCCATCCATCATGACTGCATTCATCAAGAAAAGATTCGCTCCCTGTGCATGCTACACCAGCCATCCATATGGGTCCAGTTCCTTCACCATAAGAAGCACCTCCATATGCCTGGGTAGCCTGTGGGAAACCCAGTTGCTTGCATACTATGTCTGCATCATTAATATCCCAACCATCACTACATATTGTGCCCCATTGGTTGCTGTGAAATATTTCCACCCTACCAGTCAATGGCGTGTCACTATCCATGAGACGAATGGTGCCATTGGTAACACCTGGTGACCAGAACAATAGAATGGTAATCAACGTAGTAGAGGAATATGAAGTGTAAATACACAGTAACACATATCTGATCATGACGAGACCAAAAGAACTGTAAAAACAAGAAATAGAATAGGGAATACTTCCCATTCATGTTTAGTGAACTTAAGATTTCAAAAGTACATGTTTTGTTGTACTCTGAACCACGTTATATGCTGTAACTGGACTCTGTCTTAATCTTTGATGGCAGGTTTGGTTGCTGTCCCACAAGAATTTGTAATTTTCTCAGAAAAGGGGTGAAGTTAAATAGATTGTTCCTGCTTATTTTCAGACTCAGTCCAAAGTGAGGTCAAATGATTTCACCCTTTGGAATTTAACTACCACTTAATTTCTATTTACTTGTAATCATAATTTTTGTGGTCCAGATAACTGGTGTGAGAATTTACAAGTAGATCAAGAAATGATCTGGTGGCAAAAAATTTAACGGTGATCTTTACTTCCTAGTTATTTCTCATTTCCACTCTCCTCAGAGTTCATTGAGATGCATATGTTTGAGGTGAAAGGGAAAGCCTGGATTTTAAACTGCCGTTTTAGTGACTTTTTCGACAAATGTTGACATCGCTGATGATGAAAGCAGGATGGCAATAGAGTCCTAAAGTGTGACGTCACAAAAGAATAAATGTGAGAAATTATGGGATTTAGCGTCATTTTCGAATAGAGCGTCCTTAAAAAAGGGTCCTTGCCAAAATTACCTCTTAATTGTAATTCCCAGCCGAAATATAAAGGATGAAAATTTGGTACTGCCCTATATAAATCCCTCTAATTTTGAGTCAGTTCTAAACTGAAGGAAATTTTGAAGGGTTTGTATGGGATGCTATCAAACTTTGATCCCTCATATCTCTATCGGGAATTGCAATTCAGAGCTTATTTTTGGGATGAGGGCATCTTTTAGGATCCTCTGTAAGAATATGACATCATATCCCATAATTTCAAAAATTTTATGTTTGTGACGTCATCACTTTAGGACTCTTTGGATATTCTCTTTAAGCCTCGGGTCGAAGCAACGGAACAGATGACACAAAACTGGACATTTTGCAATCCAAGAATCAACGAGAGCACAAAATCACGTCTAACGTGACGTGTATGCAGTAGTTATTTCTTGTTTGCATTCTATTTTACGCCTGAAAACATCAGTGTAGGGAACTTAAGCAATGAATCTTCTGCCGCATTTTTTTGATATTGTGAGAATGCCACAAAATGTCGCTCTGAAAATATATGAAAGAAATGTCTCAAGAGCTTCTTTTTGGCAAATTTATACTGGAAATTGATAGGAAAATACTTAGGTAGATATTTCTTGTTGATTTCGAGTTAGGTCAAGACAGAAAAATGGCTTTTGCGTTTTAGTGGATATTCATAAAATGGCCAAAAGTCGTAAAGTCCCATGTACCAGTGAACAGTATGNTGTCTTACCTCTGTAACTTGCTCTAAACCCACGGCGTCTTACTGAAGCATTAGATGTAAATCTGATATGAAGTTTGTTTGATGAGCTTGTTATAGGGGAAGGCAAAGATGTACCACTAAAAGGGCCAATCAGAGGAGATGAAGACGAACCACCATCATACACATACAAGTAATCCGCATCCAGTTCAGTGTTGAATGTAAAGAAAGTAAGTTCCACCTGTGTACTTGAAGTTAAATTCCACTGACAATCCATATCATTGTCATAATAGTAGTTGGCATTGTAGTTGTAGTCATAGTCACTGTTATTGGTTGATAAAATTATTCCACTTGAGCTAGTTTGTTCTAGCAATAAATTGGCACAGGTGCTTGTAACTGTCACCAGTGGTTCTGTCAAATGTTAAAAAATTATTGGATGAGGTTTTCTGTAGTGTCTGGTGTCGAAAGTTATCATGGGCAAGGTAAGGGTTATCAGCCAAAGTCAAAAATCTACCAAAACCTTTATTGAACCTTTGTTTCATCATACATTGTTCCAAAGAAAGTATGAATGTGCTGAATACTCCATCGTGAGTTTAGTCTCAAAACACAAAGACTTCATTTGCTGCTATATTTGTGGAAAAGGATCACCACACCTCCTCCTTCTCCCTTGTGACCTTTAAGATTGTTTAGTATTATGCTACGTGCTCTTTCTTTTCATTGTTCACAAGGTTAAATGATGAATACTTTCAGTTAACCTTACAGAACACTACAATTCGGGAAATCGTTCATCCTTACCAGTGCATCCATTTCCAGTAAAACCAGCTTTACACTGACACCAGTAGGACCCTGGAGTATTTTCACAGACAGCATTGGCACCACATATATCAATAGAGGCGCTGCATTCGTCGATGTCTGAGAAATCCAACAATAACAACAAGATGGTAATGCTTGCAATACCATAAACATCAAAGGCTCCTTAAGCCAACTCGTGATATTAATATTTCATATTATAAAGGT